AGACAGCCCCTGGTCATCCCAATGTCCTCATCAAAAAGAAGACTACAGGACTACAGGAAACTGAATGATGTCACAAGGAAAGACCATTTTTCACAGCCCCAGATTGACCACACTCTAGACGCCAGCTAGAACTAAATGGTTCTCCATTCTGGACCAGAAGAGTGGTTATTGGCAAGTGGTTCTACATCCGGATGACAAGAAGGTTTCGTTTTCAATGGGTCAAGGGCTGTGACAGTTTACAGTCATGCCCTTTGGTCTCTGCAACACTCCAGTAAGATTTGAGAGGTTAATGGACACCGTCCTAAGAGGTCTCATGATTCATGTCTCATGTACCAGGACAACGTGATTGTGATTGGCCACATGTTCCACAAGCACTTGCTCGACCTGGAGAAAGTGCTTCAGCAGTTCTGGGAAGCCTGCCTAAAGCTCTGTTCAGAGAAGAACCGACTTTTTCAGAAGCAAGTAGGGTACCTAGGGCATATTGTGTCTCTTAAGGAGATAACCACCAACACTGAGAAGCTGAAAGCCATACGGGAATGGCCGACCCCAAAGAATGAGCACAGACTTAGAAGCTTCCTGGGCCTATGCACATATTACAGATGTTTTTATTTCTGGTTTTACTAACAGTGTGAAACTGCTGACCAATTTGATGGAGCAGGAGCAAGCCTACCAATGGACATGGAGTAACAATTCAATTGTGGGATATTTTCTGGACAGTAATGATGTGAGCACAGAAGCTGAAGAATCTCCTTGTAAAGATAATGTTACCAGGAAACAACAAGTGAAAGCAGACTGGGGAGGTTTAGTGTGTGCTGTAGTGATTTGTAAAGTGTTGAGATTAGTGATGGCATTATGATTACTTGTAGTAATGAGTCACGTTAAAGTGATTAATAAATCAAGTCACCAATGCAGGCCCTGTCTGTAGTCATTCATACACATGACAATACCAAATCTCTCATTTTCTACAGCTGCTAATAGATTAATGCTGGAGACATTTTCTCTCAGTTATAGCTTGACCAGTAGAGGATGCCAACAGTATCCTCTGCTTCAGTGCTTACGTTGTTACCGGCTGGCGACTGCCTCGCATCTAACCAATGCTTAAAATATCCTCACATTCTCACATGTCACAATATGTTTAAAGCTATCCCCTTCCTAGAATGAACACTATAATGAACTGAAGATGAATGCTAAGTAACCAATTTGTGCAACAGGCTGCTTAATATAATTTTACGTATAATGAAAACATATATATATAATTGGATACAGTTTTCGTCATAAGGTTTATAGGGTCNTAACCACCAACACTGAGAAGCTGAAAGCCATACAGGAATGGCCGACCCCAAAGAATGAGCACAGACTTAGAAGCTTCCTGGGCCTATGCACATATTACAGATGTTTTTATTTCTGGTTTTACTAACAGTGTGAAACTGCTGACCAATTTGATGGAGCAGGAGCAAGCCTACCAATGGACATGGAGTAACAATTCAATTGTGGGATATTTTCTGGACAGTAATGATGTGAGCACAGAAGCTGAAGAATCTCCTTGTAAAGATAATGTTACCAGGAAACAACAAGTGAAAGCAGACTGGGGAGGTTTAGTGTGTGCTGTAGTGATTTGTAAAGTGTTGAGATTAGTGATGGCATTATGATTACTTGTAGTTATGAGTCACGTTAAAGTGATTAATAAATCAAGTCACCAATGCAGGCCCTGTCTGTAGTCATTCATACACATGACAATACCGAATCTCTCATTTTCTACAGCTGCTAATAGATTAATGCTGGAGACATTTTGTCTCAGTTATAGCTTGACCAACTGTAGAAGTCAGTAGTTGAGTAGCCACACAAACATTTGAGTGTAACCTTTAGAATAAACAGTTTCCATCTCTACCTGCAGTTTCCACAGGTAATCTTCCATTGAACCATTCTTATACACTAAATCACAGCTTCATGGAGTATACATAGTATCAGTAATGGCTGCTTTTTGTTCATTATTTTGTGAACCTTTCAGTAGCTAGACTATATTGTGTCGAATGTTAGATTAATGATGAATTGATACAAAAGTGACACATGCTCGGCTGTAGGAACATACATGCTAATGGGGCACATAAAAATAACGGCTATAACAACACCATGCCGATATTCATAGGGCTAAAGAAAGCACAAAAAAGCACAGATGCTGCAACAAGAAAATATTGCAAAAAAAAGATATTTATGTTTTCAAACAAATATATTTTGATGTGTAAGATGGAAATGCAGTAACACTGGAATATTTCAAGAACCAATGCAATGTAGCAGTTTCAGCAAGTGAACAGTTGCCTGAGGATGGCCAAGTAAGGCCAAAACATATAGCACTTTTATTGTGATTTTAATGTTATTTTAAATTAAGAGGAAACTGTAAACAGAATTTTATTAAAGACAGAATGGAATGTGTAAAGCGATACATCAATGCAACAGGATGCTGAAATACAACATTAAGAATTTAAAGTATTTGGAAGGAAGCAGTTGTGGTCTAATCAAGTTACTATCCCAGTATATGCCTAGAGGAAAACCACAACAATTCTTAGTTAGGATAGCTGCTGTACCAGGTAAGATTCAAACCAAGAACCTCCTAAGTACAAGCCTAGACCCTTACTGATATGCCAACTTGTTTGGTGGTATCAGTGATGGAAATTTATTTTTGGCAAAGGTTGAGACTGCAATACCAACTGAAGCATTCCAGGCCTGTTATTGCTACCATACAGTACTCTTTGTAACTGCAGACAGCATTGGCTTCAACATAATTATAGAATAAAGACAGAATAACAAACATTAGGCTTACATACACACGCATGCTCGTACGCGCGCACACACACGGGGACACAGGTATGTTTTAGTACATAAAGCACAGCAGGGGAAGGGAACAGTGAAAGTACATACTGGTGTATTAGGTGCTGTCAGGGATTACAGGACTCTCAGTGGTGATGTAGATGTAAAGAATGTAGGTAGAAAGAGCATGAGCTGATTTCAGGTACAATGAAAATCAGCAGAATTGCCATTTTAAATGTTGTGAGTGTAGTGATGAAAAACTGTGCATCCAGAATTGCTCTGTTTGCACTATTGGTTATGCTTAAAAAGGTATTTTAATATATGTATTGTTTATTAGAGAAATGGTATGTGAACCTCTTTGCCATTTACAGAAATTGTTAGTTATGTCAATAATGTTGGAACAGTTGTAACAGTACCTACTTTATTACAGAATGGTACTGGCAGTGGCTCTGGTATATCTATCGTGTATCCATCTGCATCGTCAGATGTATAACTATGGTTCCTACACTCTAGATATCACAGGTATGCTGTGGATAGATGTTAAACCTTTATTGTGAAGTAGGTAGTTGTAAAAGTAGATGAAACTTGTCTCATCCTCATTTTTGTCCATATAGTTAGTGCCTGCAGTTATTTTATATCATAAAATTGGAATATTTATTGGCTTTGACTACAGTTATTAACCCACTGTGACATACTTCGGTGGCATCAGGAAAGCTGCCAGTCCGGGTGTTGTTAACAGCCTTGATGCCATGAAATATCACTGACTGAAATGTGAGATGGTTGACTTAATGGTCAGTAGATGCATCATACTTAAATGAATGTTTGGCCACGCCATAGCTCAAGCGGTTAGTCGCTGGCTTCCCACCGCGGCAGTCTCGGTTTGATTCTGGGTCTGGTCAAGTGGGATTTGTGGTGGATAAAGTCATGCTGGGGAGGGTTTTCTCTGAGTACTTTGGTTTCCCCTGCCAATCTTCGTTCCACCAAATTATCCATCATCATAATCACCCGGGGCAGGTACAAATAGGCAAATCAGTGGCCACCATGCCGAGTGTACCCAGTTGGACTCCACCCCCCACTAAGCAGCAAATTAAGTGAATATTTTGTAGCAGTTTTTATGCATATATTATCAAATTTTTTAATTCATTTTATGCAGGTGTTTTGAACAGAAGAAGATGGAAAACATTGCATAATGAGGAGATTCGTAATTGGTATCCTTCACAAACAATATTACAGTGCTTGTACAAGAAGTTAGTTTTAAAATACAGAGGAATTCAGAGGAATGTACTTCTCCATTTTTAAGGTAGATGTGTGCCAAGGTGGGGAAGTGGCAGGTTATGTAGAGGGGGGAGGAAGGACTTAGGTCTTGGAGGTTGGAAACCTGTAATAGGGAAAGGAAGACAGGGCCCAGACAGGCCATTTGAAACTGTCTTCCTTGAAAAATACAGGTACTTGTAAACAGAAGGAAGGACAGGTGAAAAGGTGCAGCTGCACTGACATAGGAGGAAAAGAGAGAGAGCACATGCAGGTGCAGAAGGAAGAGTAATGTAAGTGAAAACCACAGTCCTTGTAAAGAGCAACTGCTCCAGGACTGGAAGAAGAAAAGGTAAGAATATTCATCCGTACAGATGTGGAAGAAAAGGAGATGGAACCCGTTTTGGTGCCATGAGCAGAGAAGAGCCTTTACAAATCTTGGACCTTCCTGCGTTCCTTCTTCGTGTAAATGAAAGGTTTTGATGATCTGCTGTGGAAGAGACTGACTTCCCTGTTGATGCTGTTAGGATGGATCTCATCATCTGTCACTTCCCTGCTGATGTGGCCTGTGTGTCTGGATGTTTTGGTCAGCAAGCTGGTGACTGAAACCAGGAAATGATGACTGAGGCTTAGGTTGACTTACCTAGCTGTTAAAAGTGGATGTGCCAGTAGTGCTGTTCGGCCCTATACATGCATGATGCATCTAGGGCCAGGGCCAGGGCCAGGTCATCTTTAGTTGAAGGAAAGTGGATATTTTCCCCAACTTGATTCCAACAGTCCTGTTCATGTTCTTATGTAGCACTTTACTAAGGCAGTTGATAATGACAAATAATGGAAAAACCAGTGAAGCTGTACCCCCTCTGTAAGATATGATTCTCCCAGGTGGATTGAAAGCTTAAAGGATGCTTGCTGTAGCCATTTTTCCCTGATGATCCTGTGGAGGAACTCCAGTTCATCATCAAGGCTATGATAATCACAGGTGGCTTTGACTAAGTGTGAAAAGGAGGAAATCACAGCTGCCTTGTTTGCAGGATGGCTGACCTGGCATCAGATAGAGATTGGTGTAGGTGGATTTCCTATATAGTCTGTGACCCAAGAAGCCAGATCTTCACTAGATGTTAATATCTGTTACCATCTCTGTGGTAAATAGACTATTTTGTATGCTGTTCAGGTAATCGAAGAAATACTTCCCTCTTTCCAGCCTATGAGGCCAGCTCATGAAGATGTTAATGTACCAGGACCAGAAATGGCGCTTAGGAATGAACTGTTGAGTACACTTTCCATGGAGTCCTCTGTGAAGAAGTTGGCAGCTACAAGGGGCAATGGAGGATCCATAGCCAGTTTGCTGGTTTTTCATAGAATTGGCTGTTGAAGTAGAAAACAAGGATGTGTCAGACATGGTAGAAAGGACTCAGATTGTCTGGTGGAGAGGTCTGACATAGTTCTCATCAAAATGTCAACCCAAGAGATTCAGCACTTCCCTAATTGGCCCCTTGGCAAAGACTGAGACAGTATTGAAGCTCTCAAAAATGTCCTTCAACTTGACCCAGAGCATATCCAAAATGTGGATGATGATCTTAAAGGGGCTCCTTCCTTATGTATTTTTGGGAGGCCATGTAGCCTAGGCATCCTTGAACTGGGTGATCACAGTTATTAGGTGACATACTGTAGAAGTGGGAATTTCTTGTAAGAGATGGGTGGTGTTCCATCCAGTAGGTTGTGTTGGATCCATCATCAGTTCCCTCTATGCTGAATCTTCCAAAAGGGCAACTTATCTTCTGCGTGTAGTCCCAGTGTTGGAGGTTACTGTGGCACTTCCCTCTGTTGGTAGGACTGTAAGGCCAGCAGTTCCACATAGAGCATTTGTATATGTCTCCACTAAGATGGGTGGGACATGTAGAACACAGTGATATGTGAAAAGCATACAAAAGTTTGGACAGAAAATCTGATGACAAGACACCACCTAGCAGACATAAGGTTACAGGGGAAAATAATACTGAAATGTATCTTAATGAAATAGTTTGAGGTTGTGGACTTGATTCAAGAGGCTGAGGATATTATCCAATAGTCAGCTCTTGTGAACACGGTAGTAAATATTTTGGGCTCTGTAAAAGTCAGGGGGTTTCTTGACATCCAGATTTGACTGTCATGGAGTTTATTGCTTCTCATACTTGTAAAATATACGATTTTCTTAAAGGGCCATTGATGGTCATCACACAGAAAGTGACGAGTCTAGCATTCAGTCTACATGATGGACTAACTCGGCGTGAGGATGAGCTCACTTCAAGTCAGAAGTATCATATTGTAAGGTAAGAAGGTGTTGATATTAAAAAGACTTGTAACTCTTGTGATCTCTCTCAGGGAGACAGTGGCCCTTATTGGGTGTCATGTACGTGGTAGTTTTATTAACCACGTTATATGTAAGGATGGGCCAGTCAGTATAGTGATTAGGCTGTGGGCCAGATGACTGGGTTATTGGGATTCAATTATCTGTAGTGACAAGAGATTTTCTCTTCTCCATAATGTCCAGACCAGCTTTGTGGCCCAAACAGCCTTCTCTAGAATGGGTACCAGTGGGGTTGTTCCCCCAGGGGTAAAGCAGCAGGGGCATGTAGTTGACCAGTTGCCTTTGTCTAGTACCAAGATTAAGATTGGTGGCGGTATATCTCTCCTCCCCTGTGTATCTTTATAGAATTTTTATTTAACTGGCCAAGGATATCACTACAATTATTCATTTAGTGATATGAAGAAATATTATCAGTTTGGATGTACACATGTGTACACAAAATTTCCTTGCAGGTTTGTTAGCCATTAGTCTTTTAAAGTTTTGAGATTTGAAACTATATTCCAGCACAAAATACAGAGCATAGATTTCCCTTCATTGCTGACATTCAGTTGTAAACCCAAAAGCTGCAGTTCATGGACATCCTCCTTTCCTCTTGACTGCATCATCATAAATTCTTTGCATGAAGTGTATAAACTGAATGCATCCTGTTGATGCATATTTTTCAACTCAAGAACCACAGGACAGAGTTTCATGGAATTTTGTATTAGAGTTCTTTATGTAATGTTGTAGGACATTTTGATTTTCATGAACATTAACATAATGGAAGTTTACTTTCATCAAAGCCATACGGAATTGCTTGGGGCATTAAGAATGCATGTGAGAACTGTGTGATGTGGTACAGACTGCCCCTTGTCATGCATTTATCTCACACAGCATCAGCCCTGTGTAAATAAGTGCTGCATGACAAAGTCAAAAGTTGGGTCCTTTGGTATTTTCTAAATGAAGGTGTTACTGTTCTGGGTCATTGAATTTTATTTCATATGAATTGTGGTATACCTCAATTTTCTCTTTACCAAATAATAAAGAGATTATATTTGTTGTATAAGCACAATTAGTAGTAGTGTAATTATCTTCTTGCTTGCAGAAAGATGCCCTCAGCACTGGAATTCTTCAGTTACATGTTCCATTTCCAAGCTCTTATGTGTGGACCTGTACTGTTCTATAGAGACTACGTAGACTTTATTCATGGACACAGGCTGCTGAAGAATGCACCACCATCCTCAGTAAGGAAAATAATATCTCAGAATATTCCAGGGGGTTACTGGGGCCTCCTGAATCAAGTTTTATGCCAGGCTTGCCAGTAAATGGGAAATGTGGTCACTCAGCACCTTAATTTGCCCATGTATCAGGTTGCATGCTACTCTTGTCAATGACATTTTCTTCTTCATCAAAGCTGACATTCTGTTCACATTTAGTTCACTGTCACTACTATATATGCTCTCAGAAATATCGCTCTATTAATTCTCTTGCAGCAGTTCCACATTACTTGCACACATCTTGCTAGGACCTGCCATAATGTTTATGTACAAGATCTTGAACCTAGGAGAGCTATCAAGAAATCAACACCTTCCTGTCACACTCTGAAATAACTAGAAGGTCTAGCAAGCACAACTTACAAATTTTCATTGCTGACTGTCACTACATCTACAGGGGTGTAGTTAGAAACATGAATGATGCGTAGAGACATCATACCCACTTAACTGATTAAGCATTGAGCCATGCTTCCCATTGCACTGCTAAGCACTGGTGTTCTTCATCTAGAATTCCAATCTGCTGATAAAACCATCTGTGCATAGCTTCCTGCAATTAGTATCTCTTGAATATCTTCTTCAGATGTCTGGAGATATGACAGCTACAGGAAGAGTGATCTGGAATTTGTGGATCATTCATATTGTGATTTCTGGCTTATAACATATAGTCTGGTAGGTGAGTACCAAGGTTTTGGAAAAGTATATTCCCTTCATCTCTGGGATAGATGTTTACCCTGCAGAGAGAGGGAATTTGTTGGTACCCAACTACCAGAGTACACGGTGTTGTAACTTGAAAGACCACAATACAAATCATTACCACTGTGAAAATCTCAAATCCCATTTGTGGAGTATGTTTACCACATCCCAGTGCAGCTGATGTAAGTAGCATTGATAGTTTTGGCTAATAGTGTTATGAGATACAGTATTTACAGTCATATGGTACCAGCAATTTTATTGAACCTTGATATTTATAGTCATTGATCAGCAGATTTCTATTGAATCCTATGCTACTGTTATTGGCCTTAAGCAGGTTTCTATCGGGTCTTTGATATATGTGAAATGACGGTATAAACTGTTGCAGAGTATTCTCTTTGCATTATAGCAGTGTTATAAAACTCAGTTTTAGATTTTGTTAATGATATTAGTTTCAGCTTTGAATATTGCGTTTGAAGGATCAGAATTAATATTACATCTGCTGTTTATTCTAGGGTCACGTGGATAATAATTCCAACAGCCGAAAAGTGATTTTAGAACCATCGCCGTATCTTGTGGTGTTCAAGAAAGTTGTGTGTTCAATACTGTGTGCAGTACTCTTCCTCAGTCTTATTCCATCATTTCCAATACAGAGAGTGAAAGGTATGCAAGATTTATATGATAACATGTTATCAGTGTAGATCCAAAGGTATTAGAATCAAGTTTTTTTTTGATGAATATTAATCAAAATGTATAACAACTGCACTGACTTGTGAGATTTGAGGTTTTAATGGCAGTAAAGATTTGGATTTTGATCGTTTGGGTTATGGTAACATGTGTAGTCTGGTAGGTGTTTGCTAGCATTTTGGAGGAACCTGCTGCCTCAGTTTTGAAGGTAGAAATGATCATCTCTGAATACAGTTCTGGAACCACATACCAGACTGCATATTGTCATAACATGGAAGACAGCAACCCAAAACCATACACTCACTTTAAAATCCTGTATGTACTTCCTAATAACATGACTACTTTTTTACTTAGTTTGCTTTTTGTAAAAAAAAGTAATTCATTGGGGAATAATGTGTTCCACTGTCAAACTTATTTATTTATTATTGTCCCATTGCTTATAGGTCATATATCCTTATTGACTATGAATGAATTTTTCAGAGAGGCAAAGTTACATAGGCATTGCATTGGATTGCCTTGAAATCTGAATGTGGCCTGTTACTTTCTCCCCACCCCTGTAATTTATTATGCACAAAGTGTGTTACAGAGAATTGCAATTTGAATGGTTTGTGTTTTATTTTGCAGAACCAGAGTTCCTGGAAGAATTTTCATTACCTAGCAAGATGATGTATCTTGTGGTAGCAACTACAGTAGGTCGTTTTAAGTACTATCATGCCTGGCTGCTGGCAGATGCAATATGCAATGCATCAGGTCTAGGGTTCAATGGTTATGATGCCAAAGGAAGGGCCCGCTGGGACCTCATTTCCAATGTTGATATACTCAGATTTGAAGTAAGTTTTTCACATATAAGCATTTACTAATTCTTAGTCATTAACAGTCATCCAGATTGCAACACCCTGTTGTTCTGCAAGAAATTTGCAGTTTCATATCTTTAACAAGAATTGATTATAAGTGAAATCTGTAATGTACAGAACATTATGAAACAGGCCATGAATACAGTTTGACACCAGATTGTTGTACCTTCTCCATCCCCCTAAGAATGTTAACGTAAGTTGAAGCATAAGATCATTCATTCATTCATTCATTCTTTTGGCTTCCATAATTACTACAACAGTAACACTTAAATAAGTCACATCATTAAATACATCATCCTTGAAATCCTTTTTCCCAAATGCCTAAAGGATTAGAATCTGTCAACAATAAATAATCACACTTGACATGGTTAACCTATAATTAAAATAAGCAACCATTTGTTATCTATTTCAATTGCTGAATAGAGGTTATGCTGTGCTTCTACTGACCCTCTAAGAGAAACTCATGCAATGTATAGAATGTATGATCTAGTGAAATACTTTTAGCTTATAATGACAGGAACTATATAGAGATATAGAATAAAGGAGCATAAATCATGTTAGCACATACTGTATCTGAATTTATGCATCCCTGAATATGACCACCTCTGTGGTCTAGTGGTCAGAGGTCCCGCCTACAGCTCCAGAGGTCCCAGTTTTGATTCCCGGCACTCCCAGGTTTTCTGAGAAGTAGTGGGTCTGGAATGGGGTACACTCAGCCTTGTGAGGATAATTGAGGAGCTATTTGAAGGAAACAGTGGATCCTGTCTAGAAAACCAGGATTAACGGCCATGGGGATGTGTTACGCTGAGCACATGACACCCTCTATCTGCAATAGTTGGCACTAACTTCACTGACAAGTGGCAGTCGCTCAGTCGGTATAGTTTGCTTGTGGGCAACAGGCCCGGAAGTTTGTTTGTTTGTTTTGTTGAATATAATGTGCTTCTGAATTTCGAAAGATAACAAGTTTTCTTACAAATCAGTTGTACAAAATTTATTGAATAGTTTCTGAATACTTACTGTACTTGAACATTTGTAGAAATGTTTCATTTTATTTTATTTTTAACATATTAGCTTTTAACATGTGTGATTTATAATGCTTAGTCAAGTTTGGGGGGGGCTGTAATTAGAGGAGAACAAACTGCAGATTATAGTTGGGCATATACTTGTATTCATGAAAGTGAAAGAAAACAGTAGCTCCTGAAGTTCCCAAAAGTTCGAGCCTAAAATGTAATTGAAAAACTTTGTTCAGTTGCTTCAACTCATTTGAATGATGAGGTAGGGCAAAGGATATTTTGTAGTCATTGATGTCAGTAATTGGTAATTCAGGAGATACTGCAGCTCTTAAGTGGAGAATTGTTTTAACCTTGAAGCATAAGTAATCAACTTCCATGTTCATGGCTGTTCTAACATGAGCCAAGTTTCTGGTCTACAGTATTTTTTGTTACCCATGCCCTGTATCAGTGTGTGAATAATAAGAGAACTGTAGATCAAGCACACATTCTCATTTAAGAGGGCAAGTAATTCATAGGAAAGCGGCTTCCGTAGTCTAGAGGTAACGTTCCCACCTCATGACTCGTAGTACGCGGGTTCAAATACCCGGCGGAGGTCGTCGAACTTTTAAGAGCAGAAATATTCAGGGAACAAGTCCTCCGGGAGGGACTTTAAGCCGTGGGTCCCGTGTCGTAGCTTTACGGCACGTAAAAGAACCTCATATCTCCAAAGGAGGTCACTGAGCCAAATTACGGACGTTTCCCTCCCAACAACAGTCTCTAATACCTCTGGTAGATGGGGGAAGCATTATAGATACCTCTCAGCTAGTAGAGCCGGTCTTGCTGGCTGGGCAGGACTGATGGTAAGCACCAGTATTGGTAGGATATAGAGACTGGTAGAAATCATAGAGGGAAGCACAATGGACCGATACAGGTCTCAGTGCATGGGGAAACCCACCCTCTCCAATAACTAATTCACAGGAAAGGAAGAAAAGATATTTGTAATGTAACCGTTCATTGCAGCAAAGAAGCAGGATATTTGAAAGTAACAGTCCCACTTTAGAAACAGAAAATTATTGAACACACTCGTAACTGCATGGCCTTAGTGCTAAATAGTTTGGCCTTGGGGCCAACAGTTTGAAAGCAGGGGGCACTGTTTTTGCAGCCACAGACAAAATTAATAAAAGATCATATTAATTTTTTACTTACACAAACAGTACTTGTGATTCAAGATTATTAATCAGTCTCTTAACAATTTCTTGTGTTAGTTTGGGCTGAGTCTACGTGATAGCATCGAGCAGTGGAATAAGGGTACAACGCGCTGGCTGCGGATGGTAGTGTATGAACGTACTCCTCACTTTCAGACTGTGCTAACATATGCACTTTCTGCACTGTGGCATGGTTTCTATCCTGGATACTACCTCACTTTCATGAGTGGTGCATTATTTACTTTTGCTTCAAGATCAGTAAGTTATTTATAATTCTGTCCAGAAGTAATTAGAATGTAGGCAGTGTTGATGCCTTTGTTGAAAAGGTTAAATTAAAAATAATTTGTCATAAGAGTGCACATAATAATGCCCCTGATGAAATTGTCTCATGGGCACGAAAATGTCAGTTAACATTCACTAGTGACAAAAGGATATTTGCATTCATGGTGTTTGGTTTTGTGACAGGATAGTACCGTATTTACGCATGTATAGGCCGCACATTTTTTGCCAAAAATTCAAGAGGAAAACTGGGGTGTGGCTTATATTCGAAATATTCGAAATCACACTTCATTTAAAAAAATTATATTCATAATTAGTAATACAGGGTGTAATACTCCTGAAATAATATTCCAAGAAAATTATTTTTTCTATAATTTCTGTCTGAAAATTGTGCTGCGGCCTATACACGCACGCGGCCTATACATGCGTAAATACGGTAAATGTCTCTACAGGCACCGGTGCACCGTTTGCACAGAGTGATTCAGCTCTGCGTTACACTGAGCATTTGATACTAAGAGTATCTGTACATTTTATTTTCATTTCAAAATGTAACTAAATATAAAATTTATAATGTAATTGACTGCTGTATGACAGGTTATTTAAAAAATAGAGGCCAAGGGATTGCTTAGCTTGTTGGCTATCTTTGTCTTTATATTAAGCATTTAGTTGGAACTGGCTGACTTCTTCACCCTCATTACAAGAGAAGGATGTAATGCTCTGGTGACAAGGGACCCAACATACTAGGACTTATAACAAATGTGTGTCCATGTCGATCTGTGCACGTTTTCTGTAGTTTTGCTAAGGTGAATGGAAATGATTGTGATTATTCATAATGGTAAATTATGAAGCATGGGAGAAATGCTCTGTTGTTCTGTAATTTTAATGTATAGTACTTTGAGGTGATCAGTGTCCTTATTTGGGAGGTACCATATTAAAATATCTGCTGAAAGACTGGGCAGTTTGGCTAAACCTTTCTATGGTTTTACTGAGTTCCTCCAGATAGCTGCTTGGATGGTACCTTAAATGAGTCACTTCTGCATCCTTCATAATTCATCGTTCACAGTCTTTGTTATAGTATTTTGCATTGTGGCTTTCTGGGTTGCGACACCAGTAGAGGGGTACCATCATTTCATATGAACCTGCTGCATGTGTCATCAGGGTTGAAGTGTGACCATGTTACATTGGCAAAGTGACCTTGATCAGCAAAGCGCTGCTAATGTAATATCCTCACGCTAGTCACTTTGACAGTGAAGGCAGAGGCAGTAGGCTCAACCAGATCATTGGTATCCGTCTGCAAGACTGTGTGGGGTCACAAACCAGACGTCCATAATCTGAATCATCACTGATGTATAAACCTCAAATCTTATAGCCATATATTTTATGCTGCAAAATTATGGACCTGAGAAAGTGTCATCAAAGAAACCATACAATACAAGCATAACAGTTATGCTTGGTGTATTGGAATAAGGTTTTCTTTGTTTTCTAGATGTTTGACTTACATACTTGTCACTTTTTCTTCTTCTTCCTCTTCCTCCCCCTCCTCCCTACTTTTTTTTATTTAAGCACTGCATCAGACATCATAAATTCTCTTAGATATTATAGTGAAGGTCAGGTGGGTACCAACAACAAAAGTATGTTTACTTATGTTTTTTTGGGGGGTGTTGGTTTATTGGTTCCTATGGCTTTGTTTTGGTTGTTTAATTATTTTTTCTGTTTTCTCATCCTGGTTTATTGGCTCCTGTTGTCATTTATTTTTGATCCATGATAGGGAATCTCAGGTTTAGGCAAGTGGGTGTAATGGAAATACTAGTTCTCTGCCTTTAATGTTGTGGGCAACAGTACCCCAATATGTCATTTAATGGCTTTTAAAGACAGCCATTTTTATAAGTCCATAACCTGTATTTGTTTCCCAGGTACGTCGCAGTATAAGACACTACTTTGTGCATTCAGGACCATTGAAGGCCATGTATGATATAGTCACCATGATAACGACCCGTATAGTTATGGGGTACATCACATTCAGCTTCTTACTGCTTGAATTCTGGCCCAGCATCCAAGTGTATCTGTAAGTACTAGCTGTATAAATGTGCCGCCATATCTGTGCCATATCCCTTCCGTCAAGTAGTTGTTCAGAAATAGTTCAGTATGCATTCGAATTGCATTTGTTGCTGTATCTGAATTACTTTGGGGCCAGGATATGCAGTCAGTATAGTGACTGGCTGTGGGCTGGTGGCTGAGGTGTAGAAGTCCTGGTAGGGGCTAGATTTTTCTCCTATTCACATTGCCTAGACCAGTTCTGAGACCCTCACCCCAGCCTCCTGTCCAGTGATACCATGGCCTCTTTCCCCAGCAGTAATGTGGCCAGGGCATGAAGCTGACCATTCATCTCCAATTAGCGGCAAGGACAAGAATACATGGATCCATACACCCACTCTCCCACACATCTTCATGGCATAGTGCTTAATTAGTTAAGCATAGGGAAAGCTTTACTTTTACCTTTATATGAAATACACTTGATAATATCAACACAAATATTTAGTTTTATTCTGTTATCCATATCTCCAACTTATAAAATCTCAAATCACTGAAACAGGATGTGTAGCATGGTGATAGAGGTGAAATCTCGTGGATAGTGGCCAGTTGGAAGGTAAGAATAGACATGAGCAGATAATATAGTGAGACTCATCGCATAAGATGTTTTCTTGCATAAAATGTTGCAGTAATTTTGTACCAGATCCTCATTATATGATTTTGTACATTATGCCCCTTTAATAATAAGTTTCTGTTTTGAAGGGATTTCCAGCCTAAGATGTGTAAAATGAACACCATGCAACTAACGTTCCACCCATTTTTTATATTCTGTACATTGTGTATCATCTCCTGGATTTCATTTTCCCTCCCTTCAATTATTTTTATGTATGAAATCGACTACATTTCACAACCTCACCCAGCAAGGTCAGCTGTAGGACACACAGGACATGCAGTTCAAAGAACATAATGTGGCCTCCCATTCTCTTTATGATTCATGTTGATGCATGACTGAAGCATGCTAGTACTTGAGATAAATTCACTGTTACATTTGTCTCCTGCATTGACACTCTGTCCCCACCCTCATTCCCTCGGCCTACAGACATGTGAGACAACATCTTTTTGTTAGTCTCCCCCCCCCTCCATTATGGCTCATTTAGATGCTGCTTTCTTGGAGCTGATAGCACCATGCACAAGTGAGTGGCAGAATGAGCTCATGGAGGAGACATGACTGGAACCTGAGCCTTTCATAGTAACAAGACCCATTAGGATCAATGTTTTATAAATGACTAACAGCAGGAAAGAATAACAGCGTTCTGTATAGATCAGCGGAGAAAGTACAGTGTCGTAACTGTGCTAAATAAAGAAGTGTTCCAGCGACGCAGTAATCAGATGTGTAGCCAGTAGAATGTTGGCTGATGGTCTCAGGAATGCAGTGCAAAGTCAGTAGAGGTTAAATAAATGTGAACAAGAAGTGTTGTGTTTATGAAGAAATACGTTCTGTGTTCAAGATTATATCATAATTAGGGTCCTTATAAGAGGTAAGATGTAAAATAAATATCAAAATTTAAGAGCCTTGATGAAAATGACTAGTTCAGCAGTTATTTTGAATAGCATCCCAGTAAAATGAGCATCAATTAAAATGGGAAATTACTACCACAAAAAGTAATTTTTCTTCAGACTTACCCTTTTGGCATATTTCCCTGCATAAGAACTTCAATTTGTACAAAGTCTTACAGATAATTTCACTGTATTGAACTTTATTTTTAGTAAATAGAACATAGTGAGGTGGATTGGCGGTAGCAGTTCTTTCTTTCTTATACACATAGCAGTTACGTGAATTTGCAGTTTTCTGTGGTTTGGTCACATGAGTTCTATTAAGAAACCAAATTTTTTTATAATACATTCAAGCTACTTTCTTCTTCAACCATTTCTTTCCATGCATCCCTTCCCCACCCTCATTTGGGAAGTGTGTGAGTGTAGTATCATTTCAGCTATTCACGTTAATGGTGGGATAATGTGGCCCAGACATTTGATGGTTATGATATTCCAAAAGTATTTTCACTCCTGCAGCAAGGTGTCTGGACATGGTTCAGATAGTGGATGCTCAAATTTCAGTAGAAGCATGGGACTTTTTCTCTTCAGTGCCTCATTCAGAATAGGTCTGGGGCTATGCAGTCTCCCATCCAATGGGTATTGGAAACTGTTGCTTCAGAGCTGAAATAACGGAACTTCATCTCCATTGAGTGCTGACACTAAAATGCATGTATCCTTATTCACACACTCTTTGCCTTCATTATCCTACATTATGCACTGTGAACTGTAGTGTTCCTGCCAATATAGGGACTTTTGCTAAAAAAATGGATATTCATTTTCATAAATCTGTGATGCTTATTGCATAGCCTGTCCATTTGCGCACCTTAACTCGAACTCTCTTAGATCCAGATATTTTTCTTACCCCTTTTTTTAATACCTTCAGTATATGTCACAAAACCTGAAGGGAAGAGATCACGTGGGAAACGCAGACATGCAAATACAGTATGCACCAAAAATGCAGTACTGAAACACACATCTCAAACGTGCATGTGTGTTTGTCGACAGGGCATAGCTCGAGCCGCACGTGTTGTGCACTTGTTGGAAATGGGTCTCTCGACAGAGGAAAAAGTGTTCATAGTTGAGTATTATTTCAGCTCATATGGAAGTGGTCGCCAGACAACTTGCTTCCTTCGTTTTGAGCAGCCAGATATTATCATCCAGAAACCACTACATAGTACACGTGTGACGATATGGTGTGCCATCTCAGCACACGGTATATTAGGCCCCTATTTCATTGAGGATGTGGAAGGCAGTGCTCTTAGCGTCACCCAAGAATGCTATAGGGACATGGTGATCAGACCATTTCTTCAGGATTTGAGAAGGTTCTGTCATGCAAGGGGCCTTCACGTGAATAGACAGTGGCATCAACAGGACATCTTTCCATTTCAGTACAGTATATTTTGGCGCATGCTGTAATACTAGAATTAACCTTGTGTAAGTTGGTGTGTGAAGGTGTGAACTAGTTTCATCTGGCTTAGATTAGAGTATGGTTCAGTAACAGGCTCTTGTGGTAATGAACCTTGAGGTTCCATGAATTATTTCTTGACATGCTGAACAACTACCAGCTTCTTCACAGTGGGTCTCTACCATGGAATTAGTTATTTAATATTTGCACAGGGAGGGGGAATCATCTTATAACTGGACTCCTCTTGCAGACAGGTAAATGCAGTACTAATGCTACTGTTGCTGTGATGATGTTAGCACATGTATGTACCATGGTGCACAGCACATTGTCTCCAATATGTAGTTCCCACCCAGCAAGAAATCACACAAGGTGAAAGACAGTATAGAGAGACTGAGAAGGCTTAAAGAGAGACAGATTTTCAAGAGCCTCTGTACATGCCAGCTAATAGCTTAATAAACTTTTAATAAATGTATGAAATGGTGGAAGATATGGTAAGTTTAAAGTGGATAATCCAGGTGGCCTGGTGTTTCAGGCAGCTGTACATGTTCCTGCATGTGTTGGGTGTCCTGGCACTCCTTGTGCTGCCAGTGTTGTTACCGCCAGCTAGACCTGCCAGCCAAGCTGAGAAATCCAGTGCAGTAAGCAGCAATGGTGTGGTATCAGCACAACATTGAACACCGGGCAGTGTAGTTAGTAGTGTGTAAGTTAAAGAGATGTTTTGGGTTGTTGCCTTATAATTACCTGCCAGAAAAGAACATGGAAACACGTGTGTTCATCAGTAGCAGCATTCAGGTAGCAGCCCAGTTCATCTTGAATTACAAGTCAACTAACTTCACTTACTTCCATTCTGATGGGCAGCTGCCTGCCTGAGTGTGCAAGAGAAACTGCATTTGCATTTTTGTATAGTAATGGAGAGAACTATGTGCACAAAGTGGAACCTTAAGCTTTAAAGAAAATTGCATCTAATTNCTGAAGATGGAGGCGCTACGTTCCTCCGAAACGTCGGCCAAAACGAAGAATACACGGTGCCTAAACCCAGAAGACAACTTTCTTCATTGTCATCGCCGTGAAAACCTCAAAACTTACATAGTATTCCTCTATGGGGAGGCTATCCATCGACGAAGATGGAGGCGCTACGTTCCTCCGAAACGTCGGCCAAAACGAAGAATACATGGTGCCTAAACCCAGAAGACAACTTTCTTCATTGTCATCGCCGTGAAAACCTCAAATCTTACACAGTTTCTTTCTTATTTATAGTTCAGTAACATGCAAGTACAAATTATATCTGAATAGCTCATAGGTACAATAACTACAGTTTGGTTCAAGTGCTGTGTATGGTCAGTACTTGCTGCACTGTTGGTACACAGATGTGCATGCACAACACATTCCCTTGCTGACCTAATTTATGGTGGCTTCCAAAATAAAACTGATACCTTCCACACTTGTTTAATTACTTTGTGGCATATATTTTAACAGTTTATTAATGGCTGAACCTTGAGACTGATCTAAATAAAACCTGTGGGTTTGGAGTATTTATTTTGTTCATAGCTATAATTCTTGTTACCTTCTTTTTACTCAGTTATTAACAGTTTATCAATCTATAGCAATATATTTCATGTATCTGAGAGCAGCGTATAGGCATAATGTATGATTATTCATGACATATACTTAAGTTTACGCAATGTTTGTGGTTGTGTTCCCTTTATTGTATGACTGCGGATGCTAGCCATCAAGGCACCTTTGTGACTGGATGTATACTGTGTCATACTTCTTGCTTCCAGAAAACTATTGACATTTGAAATAATATGTGTTTAAAGTATTTCAGATATTTCCATTAGCATAGCCACTGCATCACTGTTTAACCCCTAAGAGCATCAAAATAAATTTCTGTACTGGCAGAAGACAGTAATTTCTCTTGCAGAATGTGTACATTTTGAAATCTACTAACAGAAAGTTGACACCTTCAGAACAGCCTGTGGCGTTGAAATAGCATTAATTGATGCTATGAGGGTCTCACAGCTTTACCTCAGTACGTGTAATCATTGTCCAAACCTACTGAAAATGGCAGTTCTTTCAGAAAAGTCAGAGTTAAAAATCCATCAGTTGTTGCTCCTAGACTTTCAGGAAAGCTCTTCTTGTTTTTTATGGTAAGGGAAGTAGAAGAAAGCATCAATGTAGGAAAAGTATGTGAGTCCTTTATAGGAATTTGTCATATTAAATAACACATGTATGTCACATTTTATTCAAGAATTTTAGTCTGGAAATAGGGGTTTTGAACTTGAAAAGTTAAAGTTTCCATGTTTGTGAATATTCATGGCGTATTCTTCTGGCAAATGGTACACTGTAGCCTCATGGGTGGTTACCAGTGTTTTTACTGCGTCCATCATCAGGGAAGACTGCCAGAGCACATGGCATCATAACCCAGAAGATCATTGTATATAAACTGTTCTTGTTTGCAAAATGCCATTCATTCTTGATGTTCGTATTTTCACATTACTTTGCATCCATTGTCAGAAGTTTCAGTGAAAGGGGTGATTTAGTAATTTTTAAACGTGCATTTCATGCAAAATCACATCCTTTGTTTTGTATTCAGATGAATATTGGAATCAATTTCCTGCAGCCTCTTCCAATAATTGTCTATTGTTGGGTCTTAGAATGATCACCAGACACGTTGGTTTTGATGAGTNCCACCAGATTCATATTTCCAGAAAGTGTCGAAGGAAGGAACCCCCCCTCCCTGTTGCTTGTCTTGTGTGGTTATGACAAGGGCCATAGTGAAAACCAAAAGTGGTGATTCCCAAAGATGAAATATGCTGCAGTGCAAAATCATAAACTGTACTGTTTGAAAATTGAACAGTCATAAATTTAATTTTCTGTCATGGTATCTATACACAATCCTTGTAAATATGGCCAATGGCCATGGTAGTGTTGAAACAGCATTATATAATTTTTTAAGCAGTATTTACTTAACAAGTATTAGTAAGAGAGAGTAAAATTTAGTAGCCTGTTATTGTACCAAAAAGAAAAAAAAAAGGAAAACTGCTAAAACAAAATAATTGTTTCCTGAATGTTACACTGTTCTTGGTTTTATGAACTTTTAATAAAGAAAGTGAAGATGTATGTTCACGTAGACTTTTAGGTAAAGTGGCAGGTAACCTCACTGCAGTGATGTGAAAGCATCACTCTTGGTTTTGTTTTAATGACATTTCCGTTATAAAGTTTTATCCAGTTTCTTCACAGAAAATAATGTAACAGATTTGCTCAGAGCGTTTCTAGGCAATGGCTTAATAAACACTTTCCAACGTGCAACAATGGAAAATGTGTCTCAGTGGATGAATGTTGTAGCTCATTGCTAGGCAACAGTCAGTGCGCCTATGAACTTGCTGGCTAGAAATCCCATGACTTTTGTTTTTTGTGTTGTCCGTGCTGAGACTATATAACGGAGACGTGTTGTAGCTTAAATTAGTGCAAAGCACAGTGCAGTGCAATGTAGTTAAAGAGTCCAGAAGTGTTTAGTGAGTTTTGAGGTTCCAGGATGATTGAACAAGAAATTGCAAGAAGACTTCATAATGATTTGAAGTGCTAGTTTCTGTTTGAAATCTGTTGCTAGGAGACGACTAGTGGAAATTGAGAATCCTAGTGCATGTGTAGTGGTGAACTGTAAATTGTGTAAATCATTGACAGCTCTGTAATAAGTGTGATTAAGAGAGATTGTAGGCCACACCATACCTCAAGTGGTTAGTCGCTGGCTTCCCACTGCGGCGGTCTGGGTTAGATCCCGCGTCTGGTCAGTGGGATTGGTGGTGGACAAAGTGGCGCTGGGGCAGGTTTTCTCCGAGTACTTCGGTTTCCCCTGCCAATCTTCATTCCACCAGTTGCTCCACAATCACCCTCACCTATCATCTGGGGCTGGTACAATAGGCCAGAAGTGGCCGCAGTACAAGGGACATAGTCCCACCCCACTAGCAATAAAATAAAAAGAGAGATTGTAATCGAAGTGCCAGTAAATCCACTCATTTGAACTAGAACCTGTTATTTTCATCACACGTACTCCCTTCCTCATGACAGTAATATTTGCTACTGGGTATGTAACAATATATTGTCATGTGTTAATGACTAGACACAGGGTTTAGATGGGTTATCAAATTTCTTGGATGCTTATTACTCCTAACAACAAATAATTATAACACTCCTACTATGCTACACAATCTAGAAATAGCTATAGCTGCAACTGAGTGCTGTTTGTTCATTGCTCAATGCTTGGTAGCAACTTCTAACAGTGAGCATTCCCTTCACTGCTTGTGCGCTGAGTGACTCCTGTTTTCACCAACACAGTTATTCATTGTTCCAGACCCCATGGGACCCATGACCATATTTTTCAGTCACACAGCTCTTGACTGCATCATGAGACATCCTTCTGGTCCTCTCTATGTAACTTCATGGTGGACTGCATAGAAAACACCTCCTCGAACAGTTCCCCTTTTGTTGTATGCATACTCATTGTTAAAGGCGCAAGTATATTGAGCAGTTGCCTAATTATGGATGTCTCTTTGGGACTGCTCTAGTTGCACTATTCCAGCTTTCGGGCATCGTGCTACAGTATTGTCTGTTTTACCCCTTAAAGAATGCCTAATGTACTTTAACATGTTTTGTAAACAGATGAAGATTATTACTTAGGGCACAGGGAGCTTTAGTTTGGTTCTCTAGGATAGGGCCCGTGGATAATTGTGTGTGGATTTGATTTGATTTATTATTACCTCGAGCAGTCTGTACAGGCAAGACAGTGACCACAGATATAGAAGCAGTCCATTCATATATATACTAAAATAAGATATAAAATGAAAAGTAAAATATAACAAATAGATAAAATATTACGATAAAAGCAGCTGTAACTCACAACTTTGTCAACATACATACAACAAATGAACAATTTTCGAGTAGGAGGATCCACTCAACTAGACAATTTTGAAGCGGTTGTTCACCTTGGCATAGATACCAGTACACGATTTTATATGGGTATCTTCTGGTGTTCCATAATCGTGTACTGTACATATCCTCTGTGTCTGGAAAGAATGAATCGCCTCTTTAGTCCCAAGTTTCATCAGCATTTTGGCCCATGTGTTAGCAACCACTACTAAATCTTAAGAAAAGGTGAGATAGGCATCACTTATAAAGGCATCTTTGATGTACTTTAAAATACTGCTTTCAGTAATGGTAAGTTGGTGATGATGTGCGTGTATTTCTTTTTTAATTGTGGGGAAGGGGGTGCAAACAGCCAAAGCTTGTGTGGGAATTTGATTTGTTGTTTTCTTATGTTGGAAAGAGGCATTTCAGTTAAAGTGCATTTTTTAGTAAAATTCAGGATTATTGCATTAGTTTAAATGGAAGTAACTTTGATTCCATTAAGTTACCTAGTACTTTAATTAAAGGGGGAATTTTAATTGCATGTAATTTATTTAGTATCATTGAGATTTATGTATTCTTTAGTTTACCGTGTAGTAAGTTTCATGTTGTCATGTGATAAGTGTGACTGTAGACAGGGTTTGAATTGATGACAGGATTTATTGCACACTTTAATATAGTGCATGACTACTACAGTTCACTGTTACACACACCAGTGTCCACAGTCATGTCTGCTGCCATTGCTTGGTAGTGACTTCCAGTGGCTGACATTCCCTTTCCTCTG